GGAGGCGTGGAAATTGTCTTTGAGTTAGTCAAACGTTTTACTTAGTTTGAGTAGATGATAAAATGTAAGAAAAATGAATGGGCTTTTAAGTAGGACTAGGCGTTCTGTAATGATCTCTATTTAGGAGAAAAACTTAATCACTCACCTTTAAACAGCTCTCTTTTAGGAGACACACTGCTGGCTAACGATGTCATGTGATCAAACAGCGTAATTTAATTGGCTGAGAGCCGCTCGACTCGATCTAGTGCTTGGGTCATTCAAGTTCATCACTTTTGCAGTTGAATTTTTGCAGGTGCAATTTTGCAGGTGAATTTTTTGCAGGTGAATATTTGATGGTGAATTTTTTGCAGGTGAATATTTTGCAGGGAAATTTGGAGGATAAAAATTCAGTGTTATAAATTCAATGTCTAAAAGTAGTTGAATTCTGATGATACTATATTTCTTCCATAAAGTTCAGGAACGTGCTTCACAAACCATGACGTTGTGCGCGCGCGCGAGGGACGTCGCCGCCCACTTCAAACACTCTTTTTTTTTTTTTTTTTTTTTTTGAGAAAGATAAACGGGTACCCGCCTTATCTGCTGCTTTTGACTGTCAACACGGTGGAAGAAGAGCACTTGTCGTGTACCCCTCTCAGTGCCTGCTCACCATGTATAAAGCTATATCGAGTCTAAGCGGACGCTGTGCTGCTTTAACACGAGGGTCCTGCTCAAGGCCCTGTTTGGCCTATTTCCACCGGGCAAGTGGTGAGTTCTCCCTGCTTCAGCTCCAGCTTTTACCCTCACTATATAAGTGTGTTATGCGTTTTGGTTTGTTGCTACTACAGTGCAGGAGGAGCGTATTTCAGTTAATTGAGTCAACGATTTTTTTTTTCTTTCTTTTAATAATGTCTCAATTTGAAGATCTGTCACAGCCATGCCATTGTAGATGTCTGCTGGAGGTTTCACAACAAGCAAACAGGCAGCATTACATCAGTGTGCTATTAAGTCAAAGGTTATCTTAATGTGGTCCCATCCTGGCTTCAATATTGCTGAAAAGTGTGAATGAAATGAAACCAGTAGCATCAAAAGCAAACACAGTTTAAACCTGATTTTTGTGGGTTTTTTGTTGATGATTAGAAATTACATTTGGTAATTGGGTGTTAAATATTTGGCATTTGTGTCAACAGAAAGATGTTTCACATGATGCCACTGTAATGTCACGCCAAAGCTTTGATCATCCTCTGCCAGATAAAATAGAGAGCTCTATGGTTGTCAACCAGCTGTTCTTCCCTTCTTCTTCTTTTGTTTTCATGCTGCAATTAATTTACAGGCGCATTATGTCAGAAATCAGCCTTCAAACCCCCCTCTACAGACGTGCCAGAGATGCCCCCGTGCAATTTCAGTCCAGAAAAATACACGGTAAGAGCAGACTCCTGCTGATACATTTGGCCTTGCATTATGTAATCGCTTCAGTAATAACAGTACTTAGTTGGCTGAATAAATGTAGTAAAAAACCTCAGTTACAAAAAAATAAACATCCCATTCTGCAACCCTTATCTTGTTTATTTGTCTCTATCAAGGGTATGTCCAAAGACCGTATGATAGAGATCCGCAGACAGAACTGCAACCCCATGACCATGAAGGTTACTTATTATAAGAAGCCAGTGTTCATCCACCAGGGGTACATGCAGTGGCTGTGGGATGTGGACGGGAGACGATATCTGGATCTGTTTGCTGGTGTGGCGACTGTCAGTGTGGGCCACTGCCACCCGTAAGATCCTTTACAGTTTGCCATGTTACACATGGAAAAGTATTTAACAAACACAGGCATCCGATGGATGAAGTAGAGACACTGACATGAGTCGGTTATTGTAACATTTATGCACCACTTTCCACCCAGCATACAGTGCTATTGTAACAGCATGGGTTTTTGTTAAAAATAAAGCATTTTTAAACATGCCCGTTTTCTTAAGAAAGCATACATTATTTAATAATGATAATTAATTAAATAACTTTTTCAGAAAAAGATATTTATCAGGGTCGTAATTCTTAGCTCCCTGAAAAATTGACCAATGTGCAATGATGTGCTTTAACTTTGTAATGCTCAGAGTTACAACAATCCAGTTACAGCCAAGGTTATCTTCAAATGTATGCACAGCATAAACACTTAATCAAGGGTTTAAGCTGTAACTTGAATTGTAACTTCAAGAATTATTGATGCTCACAAAGCAGAAGATAGAAATACAACTTAGCCCAGTGTGTTATCCCAAAGTGTCAAGAACTGGAGCGAGAAGTGTCATAAAGGAATTCATAGAAAAAGCCCCACAGTACAGAACAAACCTGGCAGGATTGAAAGGTTTTAAAGACTGGAAATTAAACTAGTGAGAGATGTGCCTAAAGACCCCAGAACAACTGCTGAGACATGAGTGAATGACCTAAAGAATAAAATCTTAAAGAAGACAATCACTACAAGTAGAGATGCCTCTAAGGCAGGCTGAAGTACGCTAGGAGAACCTGGAGAAAGATTATGCAAACTGGACACGCAGCCTTACATGTGTGTTCTTTACAACCCAAAAACACCATCCCCACAGTGAAGCACGGTGGTGGGAGTATTATGCTGTTTGTCTTTCAACACGACAGCAACAACCCAAATCAGATGTTGCTCCTGGTGAAGAACTACCATAAGAGGACCAAAGTAAACGTTACTGACTATTGACCATAAAATCTAGAGAAGGCTGAGAGATTAGTCAAAGAAGAATGGGCTGGTATTTCTCAGGAGATTTGTTGAAAACTACAACAAAATCTGCTGCAGACTGTTATCCAAGAAGATATGATACATGTTTGACTATTAACATCATGGGACTAATAGTTTGGAAACCGATAGTTTAGGTTTTTGTTCGTCTTAAAAGATGTTCGTTTTAAAAATCCCTTGCTCTATTTAACAGATACTCTGGAAATACTTAACCAAAATATGAGGCTAATAATTCTGTAAGCCTCTCCTATAAGACCTCTGTCTGTCTACCATCCCGAGTAGCTTGGTCGTTTTAGAGAATGCCCTACATCAGTCGTCCCCAACCTTTTTGCGCCACAGACCGCTTTATGTCCGACAATATTTTCACGGACCGCCCTTTAAGGTGTCACGGATAAAGACAACTAAATGAAACCAGTACCGGTACGAAAAAAACAAGATTTATTCATAACACACGGGAAAAGACCCAGGGAATCTGAGTTAACGATAAAAAACGATTACAAAAATAGCCGAGCCTCAACTCTCATGGCCCAGTATCAAATGACTCCCAGTCCATGGCCCACCGGTTGAGGTTGTCTCCTGGTTTCTCTTTGCCTAAGCTAATTTATTTTCTGCTGGACACAATAAGAAAATCACTTATTTTCCACATGTCAGCACCAAATCTACTCCATAAAACATCACAACGCGCTAAAAAACTCCCCACATTCTTCATGCCTTTACAGAACCTGTGTAAAGTCCCCAACCTCCTTTCCACCTGATTTTTTCCCTCACTGTTGTACATCTGTTAATGAGTAACACCTTAAATTAGATATTTTTAAAAATGCTAACATAAGCCAAAGGTAGTTCGTTGGTTCCAGCTGTTTCTAGACATTTTTAATCTTATTACACACCTGTTGCATTAGACAGCAGCAGCTGGTAATATCAATAATTACTGATTTATCCCTGCAGAAATGGTCAGTCTGCATCTAACAACCAATATGTACCGCACTTCAGACAAGTGAGCTATGAAAGTTATAGATTAGACGCTATAGTTTTATAAGCCCAGTTAGGTTGTGAATTTTCTAAAGAAACTATGAAACCATTGTTCTACGTTGAGAAAGGTTACTGTGAAATGTTGCGCTTAGTACTGTACAAGAACTGAGGCAAACACTCTGAATGAATAAATCTAACATATTTAGCAAAGTACTTGTTGGAAGTTGCTGAAGTACTTTTCTAATTACTAAATCATCATATTATATTATCACAGAGGAAATGAAATGGCGTCTTTGTTCACAGGAAAGTAACAGCAGCTGCAGAGCAGCAGCTGAAGAAACTGTGGCATACAACTAACATCTATGTTTATCCAACGCTTCATGAGTATTGTGAAAAACTAGCCTCCCACTTCCCAGATCCGCTAAAGGTAAGATATTGAGTTTTTCATTGAATTAGCTGTCATCATGGGCTGAGGCTGTCATTAAACAGTGTGCTGGTCTGTTCCTTGTCCAGGTGATATATCTGACAAACAGCGGCTCGGAATCCAATGACCTGGCAATTTTGATGGCTCGTCTCCACACAGGCAACAACGATATAATTACTTTAAGGTCTAAATTTTTCCTTTTTTCTATGACTAACAAAGGCATCCTACTCGCCTCCTGATGAAAGAAAAATGTAAATTCTGTAGAAATGTTTGATTTTTGGCAGCTTTGGTAACTAAACTTCATAGGCATTGTTTACTACGAAGCAGGGTCAACATACCCAGAATAATCAGCCTAATCAGTCTCATGAAGGTGGTTATTGACCCGGGGTTTCGCATGAAGGGGGTGGTGTTGCAGCAAATGACCAATCACAAACAGGGATGGGTCTACTGACAGTGTAGCAGCTCATTTTACAAAGGAAGATAAAACTGACATGATTGGAAATATTAAAGAGGTTAAACATGTAATACAAACTAAAGTCAACACAACAGCTGCAGAAAGTGAGCAGAAGTGTGAGTGGCTATAGTATTATAAATGCTGTATGAATGTGTTTTATGCTCTTCTGCATATCTTGATTGCAATAAGTGTTTATCTGAGTTACTGACCTCTGGCATCAACGATGCATTTTCACCCAGAGAACTGCCGCTCACTGGTTATTTTCTTTTTTCTTCTGCAGAGTTGATCAGCAGTTTCTGAAATATTTAAACCAGCCCATCTGGCACCAACAACCACGCCATGACATTTCCTTATGATTCTGATGCTCAGATATAACTTAAACAAGTCAGGCTGTCTGCATGCTTATCAAACTGACCAGGGAGGTGCCCTGTTTCAAGGATCTTTAAGACTTAAAAAATAATTTTAAATTGTTTGCAACCAACAGAAAATTGCAGGAATAGGACTGCATCGGAGCTGCCATATTTCTCACAGGTGCTCACAAGGAAACAACAAAGGCTTAAGACAATTATAAAAACCTTTTTGTAGCCACACAGAGCGGTCGAAGGCAACCTTCAGCAATGCTGCCGCTATTTTCCAGAGAACTGTCAGTAGGCAGTACTTGTTACCGGTACTTTATACTTGTTGATCTAGTTAGACGTGCAATGTAAATTGTCATGATGCCACACCTTTGTAACATTGAAATTGCTCATGTTGAAGCGGCTTTGCTAATCCTATAATCTTGTTTCGTACTACCGGCCTCAGGTTTTTGTTTGTTTTATTGTTTTACAGTTTTTACTATTGTCCTTTTTTATGCTATTAATTCATGTTATTTTATCTGTTTGGAGGCACTGAAAAGACAAGCACAGAGTTAAAGTAAATCATAAAAAACAACGTTGAGGATTGCGGTATTGTTGCCAGTAATGTGTATTTTTGCCTTCTAGAGGGTCATATCATGGTGGCAGTCCACAGACCATTGGCCTCACTTCCAATGCAGCATATAAATACCCTGTTGCCAGTGGTTTTGACTCCACAAATGTAGGTACTGCAAGAAGACAGCAAAAAAAACCAAAAAAACTTTGTTGTATCTGAAAACTGGAAGATTTCCCATTCAGTGCATAAAGACACATATAAACAAGTTAAATTAAACAAATTAAAGAAAAAAACTGCAATAAAACACTGGCATTAATTTGTTGAAAATCTTTTCAACTTTTAATCGAACATTACTCACAAAAAGATATTACCTCATATGCAAATCTCCTTGTTGTTCAGTTGGGTTGAGTAGTCAGTGAGTCAAAAAATTTTAATTTTTAACTCTAAGCAAACTTTTCAGTGATCCCTGGTGCTCTATGATAGTTAATAATTGGCTTAAAGTGACACATTTAAGGTCAAAATGTATTGAAGGTGTGTGTCACTGAATATGTTTGCATTATTTAAACTAATTCATTTGCACATGTTATATCTACTTAATTAAATATAATTCTGAAATGGGCTGAAGGTGGCCGATGCTTTCGCAGCAGTAAAGTTTGGTGATGCTTTATTTGTGCTGTTAAACTGAAATAAGCAGACCTGATTTCTGTCCAATGAACAGACCATGTGTCCCGATGTGTTCAGAGGGCCTTGGGGAGGAAGCCACTGCAGAGACTCCCCCGTTCAGACCATCAGAGAGTGCACTTGTGCCCAAGGTACACACACATGTGCACTTGTGGCTCAGCGCTAATGCACCCGTTCTGTTCTAATAAACAGAATAAAAGAGGGAGATGTTTTTAATTTTTTACAATAGTCTGTCTTTATCCAGGTGACAAAAAAGGAGATCTCTTTGTTTGGGGGGGGCGGGGGGTCCTTTGTTTTGCATAGATCATTATTGATTGACACATGCATCTAAACAAAATTATATACTTTCATTTTTGTAATTTTCTGTTTCCCTTTTGAGTTGTGATTCAAAAACATGCACTTCTTTCAAAATACAGAGTAGGGCAGATTACTTATAACCCCGAAAACAAGGCAGCTGTTCAGTATTTACTTCTTTTAATGTTTTACCACTTTCAGGAATGTTAATAATAACCTGTCTCTACTAGACCACTTGAAAATGGTCCCATTGTCAGCACAATTTCATGGATTTCTGCACAAACCAAACATCTGTCGCTGCAAAATAATATCTGAATCAGCCAACCATCTAAACTGACAAGAAAGTTTTTTTTGTGTTGTTCCCCCTCCACAGGTCACTGCATGGCAAATGAACAGTACATTGCACAACTCAAAGAGACATTTGCTACAAGTGTCCCAAACAGAATAGCTGCTTTCTTTGGAGAGCCGATTCAGGTACTTTATTCAATTGTAGGGTTAGGGTTTCTTTAAATATTTCCTTTTTTTCTTTTGGGGTTAAACACGTTGTTACGCTGAATGGATTGTGATTTAATTTAGAATAGGCCTTTGTTAATATACTGTCTATGTTTGTTGTTTTACCTTGTTCAGAGTGGTCGCTGTGTTTGTGTTAATTAAGATGTGACAGTGGGATGTGCACGTGTGTGTTTATACAGGGAGTGGGAGGAGCTGTGCAGTATCCTAAAAACTACCTTAAGGACGCTTACAAACTTGTTAGAGAGCGAGGAGGAATCTGCGTTGCTGACGAGGTTAAGTGCAAATGTTAAATAGGTTTTCTAATTAAAATTTTTTTAGCTACATTGTTTTGTTTGGGTCAGTTTTTTGTTTGTTTTTTAAATTCTTAAAAAAAAATCTTTAAGCCTGCCACAGCATATTAGAAAGTGGAGATTAAGCACATCAGTACATGTGCTGCTACACGTGTTGAATCTGCTGTGTTATTTCCATTTAAATAAAGTGCTTTATGGTAAAGCATTGTTATAAAATATTCCTAAATGCATTAAAAAATAAGAAAGTAACTGCCAATCACTCATAAGCTACGAAGTCAGTGGGCATAAACAGTATGTTTGCACATCTGTGCCTTAACCACACATACTAGTTTTACACACAAATGCAGGAGTAGGTGGATTTATTCTAATAAACTTTGTTTAGAAAAACCTGCTCTCATAGGAAAATTTTTGAGTATTCTTGTTTCAATACAACAACCACACAAAACAGAAAAGCCCAAAAATCCCCCAAATTTTATACACGATATTGAGCCCTGGATTTTTTTCTTCAGTCTTGAAGAAATTCAGTGAAGAGGTGGGCGTTATTGTTTCAGTTTCTTCAGTTGTAAAATTCTCCTGCTTTTTCACTATTGCGGTGCATTTCTGTCTCCAAAAACAACAAATTATTTTGTGTGTGCACTTAGTTTGTACGTACTCTAAGACCATTTCTATGCACATCTTACGATAATGTAGCATGTGTATGTACATATGTCAGTATGTACCTTATCTCCTCCCTGACAGGTGAGCCAGTCTGACTGAAACTGTGTAAGAACATTGCCACACTTGCATCAATTATTAACATCCAGATGTTTTAAAAAAAGATTTATCATAAATCCCAATTCTTCACCCCCCTGTGACTGTAATGTTTCACGGGTCATGTTCAGAGTATGTCACTCGTCTATAATTTAACAGTCACCAAAATGTATGTCTGTGACAGTATTTTGTTCGAGTCACCACCGAATATGGAAGGAAGACAAAAGTGCTGCAGGCTAGGATTAGTGAATGAGACTCAGCGTTTGAAGGGAAATGTTTTATTATCTTGATTAAATTACAGATTCCTACAACACCCACAATAGGTATTAAATTCTTATGGACAATTAAGGTTTTTTGTTTTTGTTTTTTTTGCTTCCTTTACTGTAGTACTCCAAAAAGGGGAAAAATAAATAAATAAATAAATCACTTAATCATCAGTTTTTCACCTGGCAGGTCCAGACTGGATTTGGACGAACAGGAAGCCACTTTTGGGGTTTCCAAGGCCACGATGTTATTCCTGATATGGTTACAATGGCAAAGGGCATTGGCAATGGATTCCCAATGGGAGCTGTTGTTACCACACCAGGTGAGAATATACTCTAATGTTTGTAGATCTGCTTGTATACTCAAGAAACATAAACAAATACATTTAATTACATTATACATTATTTTCACTACCGAACTGGCAAAATGTAACTGGCCGTGGTGAGACAGCATCTGTCTCTTTCTGCCAGGTAGTGATGGAGCTTTTTGAATGTGAAGACTCAACAATTTAACATGTATTTATAGTTTATCAAAAAAACAAAAAACAAGGACACCATGAAAGCTTATTTTTTTATTTATTAATTATTTTATACTTTTCAAGCAACAAGCAGACCATATTTTCTTCTTTTTTTTCTTTTCTTTTTT